CCTTCCCAACCATGTTAAAGACAGTACCTCTCTCAACCAGTTTAAGTTAAAAACGAAGCTATACCTAATAAATTCCATGTAACCTACCTTACCCCTCTGTTGTCAACCCATGTATGTTTTTTGTTTTTGTTTTTTGTTTTACAAATCTACGCTGTTTTAATGTAATTTTCTGTAATAATTTATAATTGTATTTGTGCTGTTTTTTCAACAATGTTCCCCCCCTCTTTTACCTCTATTTTTATTTGTACTCAACGCATTTTTTTCTTTTTACCCATTAGTTTTAAGCTTTAGTCAGTAGTGTTTTTTCCTGCCCGAAACGCTTTGCGTAATAGTGGCTTTAGGCATTGTATGTACTAGCTCTATCTATAAAGCCAACAAACTTTGTAAAATCTCTTTATGTATGTACCTTTGCCTAAATAAAAATTATTATTATTATTATTATTATTATTATTATTATAATGCCAATCCTGATCTCAAAAGCTTCATAGAAGGTTGTAACAGGACCCATAAGCACCACACCAGAAATAAATACAGTTTTGATATTCCTAGAGTACGACTTAATCAAACTAGAAATGCTCTACAAATCAAGGGACCCAGAATGTGGAATGACCTTCCCAACCATGTTAAAGACTGTACCTCTCTCAACCAGTTTAAGATAAAAGCGAAGCACTACCTAATAAATTCCCTGTAACCTACCTTACCTTTCTATTGTCAACCAATGTCTGTTTTTTTTTAAAGAGCGCTGTTTGTCGACATAATTGTATTTGTGCTGCTTTTTCATCTATGTTTTCATTTCTTGTTTTCATTCTACTCATTATGCTCAATTAGTATTAAGCTTGTCATTTAAGTTTATCATGCCCGAAACGCTTTGCGTAATAGTGGCTTTAGGCATTGTATGTACTAGCTCTACCTATAAGTCAAACAATCCTTGTAAATATTTATTGTATGTATGTACCTTACCTAAATAAACATTTTATTTTTTATTTTTTTTTTCTACTCCCCAAGCCCGCCCCGAGGCCAGACTTGACTTGTGAGAGTTTGGTCCACCAGGCTGTTGCTTGGAGCGGCCCGCAGGCCCACATACCCACCACAGCCTGGTTGGTCCGGAACTTCTTTTAGAAAACAATCTAGTCAAGATGTCCACGGTTGTTCCTGTAATATTTCTGATGCTCGCTGGTAGGACGTTGAACAACCGTGGACCTCTGATGTTCATACAGTGTTCTCTGATTGTGTCCATGGCACCTCTGCTCTTCACTGGTTCTATTCTGCATTTTCTTCCATATCGTTCACTCCAGTACGTTGTTATTTTACTGTGCAGATTTGGGACCTGTCCCTCCAGTATTTTCCATGTGTATATTATTTGGTATCTCTCTCGTCTCCTTTCTAGTGAGTACATTTGGAGAGCTTTGAGACGATCCCAATTATTTAGGTGCTTTATCTCGTCTATGCGTGCCATATATGTTCTCTGTATCCCCTCAATTTCAGCAATCTCTCCTGCTCTGAAGGGGGAAGTGAGTACTGAGCAGTACTCAAGACGGGACAACACAAGTGATTTGAAGAGTACAACCATTGTGATGGGATCTCTGGACTTGAAGGTTCTCGTAATCCATCCTATCATTTTTCTGGCTGACGCAATACTTGCTTGGTTATGCTCCGTAAACGTTAGATCGTCGGACATCATTATTCCCAAATCCTTGACATGCTGTTTTCCTACTATAGGCAGATTCGATTGTGTTTTGTACCCTGTATTATGTTTAAGATCCTCATTTTTGCCGTACCTGAGTACCTGGAATTTATCACCGTTAAACATCATGTTATTTTCTGCTGCCCAATCGAAAACTTTGTTAACTGTTTGTAGTTTATCAATGTCTTCAGCAGAGGTAATTTTCATGCTGATTTTTGTATCATCTGCAAAAGTTGACATGAAGCTGTGACTTGTGTTTTTGTCTATATCTGATATGAGAATAAGGAACAGCAGTGGTGCAAGGACTGTACCTTGAGGTACAGAGCTTTTAACTGCGCTCGGACTCGATTTTACTTGATTGACTGTTACTCTTTGTGTTCTGTTCGACAGGAAATTGAGTCTCCAGCGTCCTACTTTACCAGTGATACCCACTGACCTCCACTGTGAGGTGGAAAAAAACTCTAAACTTAGAAATTTAATACTAGATAACAGACTGAACAAAAACCATCTAATTATCGCAGGGGGACTTTAATATTGACCTCTGCGAGCCTGAAAACCCTACTGCTGCCAGCTTCCTCAACTGTATGAATTCCTGCTTCCTCATACCCTTAATCACTAGACCTACTAGAATCACTGATAGTACTGCCACGGCTCTTGATCACATCTGGACCAACATAACCTCTCCGCTTACTTCAGGGATAATCATCGATAGCACTACAGACCATTACCCCACATTTCTCCTAACCAACATCAACAAACCACTTCTAGAGACAAGGGAGATAAGCTTTAGGCTGCACAATGAAACTGCTATAGGCAATTTTATAACTGCTGCTGCTAATGTCAACTGGGAGTCCGAATTAGGTAACATAGGGGACATCAACCTAGCAGTGCAATCTTTTCTTCAAAAAACTCTCAGCCTTTATAACACCCACTGTCCTATGCTAACGAAACAAGTCACAACTAAAAGGCTAAACAATCCTTGGCTTACAAAGGGAATACTTAAATCCATTAATAAAAAACATGACCTTGAGAAGAAGTATAGGTTAGGAATCGTCTCCAAAGAATTTTCAAAGAATTACTCATCATTGCTATCTAAAATAATTAGAAGAGCCAAAATTAAATACTACGAAGATAAATTTACCCAAACAAAGGGCAACATTAAGAAAACATGGAGCACAATTTCACAAATATTGGGATCAAAGAAGATTTTAAATAACAAACCAATACTCCTGTCCAATAACGATGGTCAGCTTACAGCCTCTGATACTGCTATTGAGTTCAATAGGTTCTTCTCTTCCATTGGGTCATCCCTTGCAAATGATATTCCATCTTCCAGTACTGATGTTCAGGACTATCTTACAGGTAACTATCCACAGTCTCTGTACCTAACGCCTGCAAATTCCACTGATGTTAATGAGATAATCCTTTCCCTTAAAACAAAGTCTAGTGCCCTTGAGGAGATACCAACTCTTATTTACAAAAAAGCCTCCAGATCTTTAGCTCCTGCTATTGCATTGCTCTACAACAAGTCACTTGAACTCCAAACCTTTCCAGATATTCTTCTAAAAAAGCGAGAGTAACCCCTGTCCACAAATGTGGTGATCTCACTGATGTCAACAACTACAGACCTATATCAATTCTGCCAAACTTGTCAAAAATATTTGAAAAACTAATCTACAAGCAGCTTTACTCTTATCTAGCCAAACACAATATACTTAGCTCTTGTCAATATGGCTGCAGGCCCCCAAAAAGCACTAACGATGCACTTATTAGTATGATTAACTTGATACATGCCGCTCTTGATAAAAATGAGTTCCCTGTTGGGTTATTTGTGGACCTGCGTAAGGCTTTTGACACTGTCAACCACCAAAACCTTCTTCTTAAATTACATCATTATGGAGTCAGAGGTCACTCCCTGCAATACCTCAAATCTTACCTTACTGACAGGCTCCAGTATGTTTCTGTGAATAATTCAATTTCTCCCACCCTACCCATCAACATTGGTGTTCCTCAGGGCAGCATACTTGGCCCTCTCCTCTTTCTCATCTACATTAATGACCTTCCAAATGCCTCCCAACACCTCAAACCAATTTTATTTGCTGACGACACAACCTTCATTTACTCCAGTCCTGACCCCCTTGCTCTAAATGTCACAGTGAATACTGAGCTAAATAAAGTCCATCTTTGGCTAACTGCCAACAAACTCGCCCTCAACATTGACAAAACTTTCTATATTTTGTTTGGCAATAAATCCTCAAATCAAATAAATCTCAGGATAAACAATACCCAAATTTGTAACAAAATAGATGGCAAATTCCTTGGCGTTCTCATTGACCACAAGCTGAATTTCCAGGGACACATTCTAAATATATCAAAAAAAGTTTCAAAAACTGTTGGCATTCTTTCTAAGATCAGATATTATGTACCTCGCCCTGCCCTGGTGACTCTCTATTACTCCCTCATCTATCCTTATCTCAACTATGGTATTTGTGCTTGGGGTTCTACTACCCAAAATCATTTACGTCCTCTAATTACTCAACACAAAGCTGCTATTAGGACAATATCCAACTCTGGCCCCAGACATCACTCGGTACCCTTACTCAAATCTCTGAATATGTTAGATATTAAGTCACTGCACATCCTCTCATGTGTATTATATATATATATATATATATATATATATATATATATATATATATATATATATATATATATATATATATATATATATATATATATATATATAACGCTGAACTGTAATGCCAATCCTGACCTTAAAAGCTTCATAGAAGGTTGTAACAGAACCCTTGAGCACCACACCAGAAACAAATACAGTTTTGATATTCCAAGAGTACGACTTAATCAAACTAGAAATGTTCTACAAATCAAGGGGCCCAGAATGTGGAATGACCTTCCCAACCATGTTAAAGACTGTACCTCTCTCAACCAGTTTAAGTTAAAAACTAAACACTACCTAATAAATTCCCTGTATCCTACCTTACCCCTCTATTGTCAACCCATGTCTCCTTTTTTTAAACAATGCTGTTTGTCGACCAAATTGTATTTTTTGCTGTTTTTCTGCCATGTTCCCCCTTTATTATTTTTATGTTGTCTCAACACTTTTTATACTTTAATCTCAATTAGTATTAAGTTTTAGTCTTTAGTGTTTTTCCTGCCCAAAACGCTTTGCGTAATAGTGGCTTTAGGCATTGTATGTACTAGCTCTGTCTATAAATTCATCAATATCTGTATCACCCCTTGTATGTATGTACTTTATCTGAATAAACATTTGAATTTAAATTTGATTTGAATATATACTCCTCTGTGGGGACGCGACCTTCACAGTTGAGACTGGTCCCCGAGTGCGTTTAGTCCTGTTTACAGCCTGAGGTACACAGTAGCCTTCACACATGCAGTAAGTACAGTTGAGGCTTTATTCACTGTCGTCACCACAAATACCCTGGGTGAGTAATCATCATGGACCATGAACGATGACGTTATAAGACGTGTGACCCATCTTCACTATTATCACACACTTACTGTGGACCCCATCCCCAGGCCCCCCATGATGGTGAGGCCCTCATGATCACACCCATGATGGTGAGGCCCTCATGATCACACCCATGATGGTGAGGTCCCCCATGATCACACCCATGATGGTGAGGTCCCCATGATCACACCCATGATGGTGAGGTCCCCCATGATCACACCCATGATGGTGAGGTCCCCCATGATCACACCCATGATGGTGAGGTCTCCCATGATCACACCCATGATGGTGAGGTCCCCCATGATCACACCCATGATGGTGAGAGAGAGAGAGAGAGAGAGAGAGAGAGAGAGAGAGAGAGAGAGAGAGAGAGAGAGAGAGAGAGAGAGAGAGAGAGAGAGAGAGAGAGAGAGAGAGAGAGAGAGAGAGAGAGAGAGAGAGAGAGAGAGAGAGGCAGAGAAACTGAGATAGAGGGAGAGACTGACAGAAGATAGATGGATGGAAGGATGGATGAATGGATGGATAGATGGATTAATGGGTAGATAGACGGATAGATGGAGTGATAGACTGATGGATAGATGGATGAATCGATGGATATTTAGATGGATGATATATGGATGGATAGATGGATGGATGATATATGGATGGATAGATGGATAACTATATGGATGGATAGAGAGGTGGACCAATGGGAAACAGATACTGCAAATCACCTTAAGCCCATCATCACTCAGCAAAAATCTGCTATCAGAATAATAACAAACTCTGCTTTCAGACAACACTCAGCTCCCTTGTTTAAATCCCTAAACTTGCTAAATATTAACTCCCTCCACACATTCTCTTGTGTCAACTACATTTACAAAACCCTGTTCTTAAATGCAAACCATGCTCTGAAACTCTCCCTGGACAGATGTAATAGGACCCATTATCACCACACCAGAAATATATATCTCTTTGATATCCCCAGGGTCAAACTTAATCTGTGTAAACACTCTGTGCAAATTAAGGGACCTAGTCTATGGAACTCACTCCCTAGTGAATTGAAAAACTGTAAAACTTTTGCCTCATTTAAAAACAAAAACAAAAAGTACCTAATTTCATCTTCGTAGTTTCCTACACTGAGCTTTAAATTTGCTCTGTACCTAGTGCTACCCAATCTCCCAACCTTTATGTACTTAACCCAAACAACTTTATCATTGTGTTCATTGTTGTCTTCTTTTATGTGCTAGCCATATGCTGTATTGTGACTACTAATTTTTGTTAAACTACCATTCAAGCTGTCATTGCAATCAATCTGAGCTACCTATGTGCTTTAATATGCCTACAATTTTCTCTCGTCTTTTATTTTTTTCTCTTGCCTTGTAACTGTCATATTTTTTTATAAATTTTGCAAGTATTTACCTACTTAAAATTTTCTTAAATTAAGGACCTGCCCGAAACGCTGCGCGTACTAGTGGCTTTACAAGATTGTAATTACTATACTATGTATCCTCATAATCCCAATGTACCTTCTTGTATATATATAAATAAATAAATAAATAAATAAAAGATAGACCCGGACAACGCCGGGTATCCCCCTAGTATATTTATATACTAGACCCAGGATAGTCTGTCTCTTCAATGATCAAACTATTATGTATTAGCGATAAGACCTACCATTAATGTATAATGAATTACTGTAAATATATAGCTCTTGAAATAGCACTTTCTCTGTAACTAGCTGACATTGTAACTATAAGGTGTGAAAGATAGATGAAATTGTTTATGTAATTATCTAAGATGAGGTCTGATAAAGACCTTTTGTGCCCTCTGTAATGCTTTTTGCGCTACCGCTCACAGGATGAGTATGGGGTGCACAATAAATTAGCAACAATCAAAAACAACTCCCACCACCCTCCATTCCACCCCTCTTCCTTTACCCTCTCCCCACATTCCCCATCCTCCCCCTCCCTTTGTCTCCTCCACGCCTCTCCTTTTCTTCTCCCCTTCTTCCCTCCCATCATTCTCAATTTCCCTCTTTCCCCTACCCTTCCCCTCCTCTAAATCTCTCTACCCTCCCCCTCCTCATAATCTTCCTCCCTTTCCCCCTTCTCCCCTCCCACCTGAAACAGACAGACCTTTCCATTTATGTAACGTAAATAATGAAGACGTGGTGGGAATGTCTTCACTATAGACACCACGTGTCCCAGTTCATCCCCCACTCCATGACGATCCCACAGGACCAAGGCAAGGGGGGGGGGGGGTTACAGGCTATATATATATATGTCTTAAAGCATATAATTTAGGCCTACCCACACTATTTCTCCTCCACATTATGGCAAGGTCAACCCTAGCCTCTGGTCTCCTCCATCTTTGGACAAACACACACATTCTCTGTTATAAGAATATATATATATATATATATATATATATATATATATATATATATATATATATATATATATATATATATATATATATATATATATATATAAAGTATGATTGAGTTTAATAGAAAGGGATTGATCAATGATTCTAGCACGAGTTGTCTTTATGTTTTATGTTCGTCACTTGGGGCGGAAGTTACGAGACAACTCTCTAAAGTTAACGTTTACAGTTTGGCCTGACACTAGGAGGTGCATTTGGTGGGGCTTGTCAACATTTTCAAGAGGCAGAGTTGAAGTGCCATCGCCCATTGTCAGGACAACTGTTCCCGTGGGGCGGTGTAGGGAACCATCAGTGTATATGCTCTGAGAGAGAGAATGCTCTGTGGACAGAAAATCAATATGACTTAAGGTGTTGAGCTTTGCCTCAAGACGAAGTTTGGGCTGATCTATATTTTGCTTCTTGGGTGGAAAGGGAGGGATTTTGAGTGGAGAGTCCGTATAAACAATTGGGCTTCTACCCTTCAGACCGAACTATTTGCCTTGCTTCTTGCACTGAAATGTGTACAAGTCTCCAAACTTGATACCTTAATTGTAAATGACTCTATCATCCTTAATTGCTCTCAACACTTTAAATTAAGATATAACTGTAACATGCTCATGTCTGAAGCTAGACACATATACAACACAATTATTAATGATGGTAACAGAGCCCATTTCATGTGGATTCCATCTCATGTTGGCCTCCGAATGCATGATAGAGCTGATAAGTTAGCTAAGGAATCTTTCTTCAAAGGAGAAATTAAGTATATCCTTGGATTGTCAATGAGCAATCTGAGAGCAGCAGTACACCGAGAACTTCAATAAGATCTTGTAGATCTGAGGCAAAATTAAATCGACACCAGTAATTCCATCTATCATCATACTATCATGCAAGAGGAGCCACACATCTATGGATCATCCAATAAAATCAGCAGACTTCTAGATGTTACTACTGCTCGGCTTAGACTCGGTTACAAGTATCTCTGGGAATTCTCATTATCTGCTGATGTAGACCTGACCAAATGTAAACTGTGTCAACAAAATTATTCGCACACCCTCCGTCACTATGTGATGGAGTGCGAAAAGATACATGAATTCAGAGACAGTTCTCTAACAAATGTTCCAGAGATGTGTAAATATTTCATTCAAAATGATCTGCTGCCACAAGTCTTGGCCAAATATCCCCAGTTCACTAACTGTACGTAGTAACCGAGTGATTGTAACCTATCCACCGCTGCCCACTGGATGGGGGGCGGTGTGCAGGACAAACATATCAACTGTAACACTAGCTCTCCACATATGTCAGTTGCTTAATTTAGAAACTGTACTTGTGGTCGGTCTCGAACCCATTGTTGATGTAACGATGTGCATTGAATTTTGTAACTAGTTCATCAAGATTGTAACTAGCTTAGCGGAATGATTGGTGGGGTTCAGTCCCTGAGCCCATTATGTGCCTCTGTAACCCTTTCCACTACCACCCACAAGATGGGTATGGGGTGCATAATAAATACAAGAAACAAGAGGTGAAGTGGGCACTCGTTAGCTGGAGCAATACAATAGACGTCTCACCAGAAGACTGAGACTGAGACTGACTGAGACACCAGAAGACTGAGACTGACTGAGACACCAGAAGACTGAGACTGACTGAGACACCAGAAGACTGAGACTGACTGAGACACCAGAAGACTCACCGAAGACACGAGGTGCTGATGGCTGCGGCAGTAGCAGAATCGTTAGCCGGAAATTTGCCTTGGTCTTGAAGATGGTAGAATGTACAGTATCTAAGTTTGAACTGGTTATTGATAGACAGTGTTTTGTCAATGTCTAATATTCTGTTGCCGTTGTATCTGTCGAGTATTTGGGTGTGGTTGGTCAGTATTTCTCTGGTGATGATCTGGTTGTGTAAAGAAATGGTATGCTTTTTGATGGAGCTTTGTTGTTTGTGCATTGCCAAACACCTTGTAAGACATGCTGTTGTCTTGTCTATATATTGAGAACGCTGGGGCTGACGGTCCCCAAGAGGGCATGTGAAGGAATACACGACACGTCTCTTTCAACGCGTTTCTCCGTTCGTCGGGAGACTTCTTCATGAACAATTCAGAGCCCTTCTTGCTCTTGAGGGATTTTTTCTTAAGCCTATACTTAAAATAATAAAGGTTCCCAAGGCCAACTATTGACCTTCCCAAGGATGCAACCCACAATAGCTGCCTAGCTCCCAGGTATCTATTTTACTGCTAAATGAATAGAGGTATCAGGTGAAAAGATGCGTGGCCCACCTTTTGCGTCCAGCCTGGAGACCGAACCGGTTCCCTTGGACGAGAGGAGAGGACTCACGTGCTCATACTCCACACAAAGTTTGCTGGTGCAGGCTAGTACACTCGTCCCAGGATTTGTCATTGATCTGCGTACATGACCCAACCTTCCTGAGAGTGTGATATGTGGGAGACCTTACATAACTAGCTCTTGACCTATATTCATAGGTCATGACTCCCTCAAACATCTAGTGTAGCAGCACACTGTGTACTCAAGCTTGCTAATAGTAAATAAGCATGCGCTCTCAACTCTGTACATTGTTTTATTATTTGATGAGCTTATAGCTACTATTTAAATAAATAAATAAATAAATGTTTATTTAGGTAAGGTACATACAAGAGATTGTATGTATGTACATACATACAAGAGATTCATACAAGAGATTTTACAAAGATTGATGGATTTATAGATAGAGCTAGTACATACAATGCCTAAAGCCACTATTACGCAAAGCGTTTCGGGCAGGAAAAACATAAATGACTAAAGCTTAATACTAATTGAGCATAAAGAATAAAATGTGTTGAGAACAAATAAAAATAGAGATAAAAGAGGGGGGAACATGGCTGAAAAAGCAGCACAAATACAATTAGGTCAACAAACAGCGTTGTTTAAAAAAAAAACAGACATGGGTTGACAACAGAGGGGTAAGGTAGGTTACAGGGAATTTATTAGGTAGTGTTTAGTTTTTATCCTAAACTGGTTGAGAGAGGTACAGTCTTTAACATGGTTGGGAAGGTCATTCCACATTCTGGGTCCCTTGATTTGTAGAGCATTTCTAGTTTGATTAAGTCGTACTCTTGAAATATCAAAACTGTATTTATTTCTGGTGTGGTGCTCATGGGTTCTGTTACAACCTTCAATGAAGCTTTTGAGGTCAGGATTGGCATTACAGTTCAGCGTTTTATATATGTATAATACACATGAGAGAATGTGCAGTGACTTAATATCTAACATATTCAGAGATTTGAGTAGGGGTACAGAGTGATGTCTGGGGCCAGTGTTGGATATTGTCCTAATAGCAGCTTTGTGTTGAGTAATTAGAGGACGTAAATGATTTTGGGTAGTAGAGCCCCAAGCACAAACACCATAGTTGATATTTGATCTACACTCTCTAATCCTTCATATAAAATATGGTAGCAGCACAGTATAATATATACCTAAGCTTGTTAATACAAAAATATGAATATTTTATTATGATTAAAACAATAAGATAAATTTAATTGAAAATGATTATAATAAATGATTTAATCAACTTATTAATGTTAGCTTTAATTACTTTTCAGGTAATCATCTTGTTCCAGTTATGGCGGAAAGAGGTCGTTTGCAATCTCTCGAATCACTCTCAAGAACAAAAGCAGTAAAATTGACATTAACAGCATTGACAAATATATTATTGCAAGAAGAGCAGGAATGTAGTTCGAGTAGAGAACGTGACAGATGTAAAAGAAAACGCAGTTATTCATGTGGCTGCGATGAGAAGGGGGAACTACGCTTGAACAAAAAAGTCAAAGTAGACGGTGCGTGTCATAACTTTGTAACTAGTAAAATGCGTAAAAGAAAGCTGGATGACAACGAAAGCGACGAAACAATACATAAATACAAACGGCAGAAGTTTCATGAAAGTTTTAAGAATTTTGATTTAAATGAAGAGGAAAGATTAGTAAACAACTTCGAAGAGAGGAAGTCCAAAGATGACACAGACATCTCATACAAAGTAACCTGTAATGTTATGTTAACATCGTTGAAACAGTTTTTCTTCAATTTATCCCCTAAAATGTGGACGGATTATGGAAAGTCGCTCATTCGTGAAACACTCCGAATGATAAGACTGGAAAACCTTGATAAGAAACACCTGAACAAAGTAACCGAGCATGTGTTGTGCGACAAACTCTTGTTTTTTTCTACGATGGAAATAGAGAATTTTTCAAGTGACTTTGAAGGTGTAATTTATGACAGGCTAAGACACTGTAGAAAGTTGTTATCTCTGGAAATAACAGTGATACCTAGAGACGAGAGAGACGTCATCACCGCCACACTGTCTCTTCAGAGGCTGAGGAACCTGCGGTGTCTCTCGCTCCTCCCGCCCACCAGGTACTCCTTCCACTGGGTCATACACGCACTCTCTCAACAATGCTTCAATCTACGTGAGCTCAAAATTGTCTACAACGGCGACCTCTTTGATCCTGGGAGAGGCGTGTCATGTCTCCAGCACTGTCAGAACTTGGGCGCACTCTGGCTCTTCAATTTTGGACGAAAGAGTGAAACAAAGTGTGTGAGTGAGCTATTGAGATCTCTGCATAATCTGAAAGTATTGTTTCACAAAGAATTACCTAACGCTATATTAGAGTTAACATGCGATAAAGGCCACAGTCTTGAACAGACTGATGTATGTAGTGCTGCTAGCAAGTGGCCAGTAAGGCAGCCCAGCACCATGTCCTGTCACTTGTCTATGGAACGTGTAGATCTGTGCTGGTATCAGCGAGCCGTGGGTTACCAGCTGGTATATGTACCATCGTCTTACCTCCTGCGTGTTGCTCAAGCTTGTCCAAAGATCAAATTATTGAATCTCGTTGGTCCGCCGTGCCTGGCGCAAGTTGTTGCTAACCTGCCATGCTTACAGGCCATAATCTTACACCAGGCAAGCCTAGCCTCCTGCCTCAAGTGTTCCTTGAAGGGCGTCAACCTTGACAAGATATCAGAGCTGCGAGTTTCTGACGTGTGGGACGTCACCCATGACATCGTGTCAGCAATAGCCAGCAGGTGCCCAAACCTGCAAGTTCTGAGTATCATTAACTCTAGTCTGGAAGCGCGGGGCGACCTCCTCACTCCCCAACATCGTCCTGCCTTCCAGTGCCTGCGTGAGGTAATTCTGGTGCCCACCACGTTACATGGTCGCCCATGCCTTACCTCTCCTTCAATATGGCAACTCGGTGCTGCCCTCACAGCTTACATTTTCAGCGGGGCTTCTTCTCTTATCTCCATTCACGTGCAGTACAAGTCTGAGGACATTCCCGATGATGATATACCCAGCGAACAGGACCTAGAAGCTGCTCTCTGTTGTCCCCGACCTGGTCTTCGTCATCTTGTGCTGGCGTGTCCGCCCGTGGCCTCCCCTCACCTGGCGGATGTTGTGATAGGGGCTTGTCCCACCCTCACTACCCTGGGCTCTCTAGCCACTTGGCCCCTCACCAGTCACCAGTGTGCTGCCCTCATAGCCAGCTACCACCACCAACTGGATATAACATGAGCACGTATAACTGTGATATGTAAGCTTATGTTGACAACGAGAGCAGTACTGAGCACTGCAGCTACATTCATTACATTTGTGTTTGTAGCTAAAAAAATTAGTCAATATTCCTTGAGCCCCGTCTAAGCAAACTATAAGACGGTGTATATAATGTTTTAAAACATAATCTAGAGCTATGATACAGCAGAAAAAAGTTACATACAGTTAAAATTACAGTAGCATACAGAGAAATATGAAAGTAGCATAGAAACCTGTCCACAGGGAGGTGATCCACTAAAGGGAATGGATTGGGATTAACTACATAATTAGTGCTATTATCTACTCTCTCTATCAAATGGTTAGGTTAGGTTTCATTACGTTTGGTTACGTTAATACGGTATATTGACGATAATGTGAAATATGGAACTCGAAAATTATATCAGTGTGACCAGACCACACACTAGAAAGTGAAGGGACGACGACGTTTCGGTCCGTCCTGGACCATTCTCAAGTCGATTGTGTGCCGGAGAATTCTGTTTACATTAAACCAACTTTTTCAAAATAAAGGTTTTCAACATATAATTCTTATATTTTAAACATACGAATTCTAATACAATAACGTTATAACTTGAGAATAATCTCTGTTTACGACAAAGCTTCACTTTCCAGTTTACATGCAAACTATTACTGGAACCGTAATATGCTTTCAGACCATCATAAATGTCTAGATAACTATCCAGGTGGTTTGAAGGGTGGTGTGGTGTTTGAAGATAATAGATTTGTTGTGAGGACGAGCTCAGTAATTACACGTAAGACACCTGGTTGATACCTGGTTGATGGGGTTCTGGGAGTTCTTCTACTCCCCAAGCCCGGCCCGAGGCCAGGCTTGACTTGTGAGAGTTTGGTCCACACACCTTATATATTGCTAAGCCATTTATTTATTCTAGTGTGAAGGTAGAGAGTAAAGAGGGTGACGGGGAGGACCGGACAGTGGCACGCCGGACACCGTCTCGTGCTTGGTCGTCTCCATATTGTAATGTGTATGTGAATACTTAATTAAGTTACCAGCTGAGTGTACCGACACCAGTGCGGCAGCGACAAGAGAGAGAGAGAGTAGTACATTACCCGTTGTCCAGTCCGGATCTTTCACGATTCACAATCAATTCTGGGTTCGAATCTCGGTCAGGACAAAAATGGTTGGGTACGATTCTTATCACCTAATGCATCTGTTCACCTAGCAGTTAATAGGTACACAAGAGTTAGTTAGCTTGTTGTTGGGTTACATCGTGAAGAAGGTGAAGAGTAGTTCGTCCCTGGGAGTGGTTGGGCACTATCCTTATCCTGACCCCTTCCAAGTGCTAGTCGTAATGGCTTGGCGCTCTCTCCTGATAGTTCCCTTCCCTTCGTCCCTGGTGGGGGGGGGGGGGATCTCGATGTAAGCCTAACGTGTACATATACACTGGTGGCGTGGCCCTCGACACAATGAGCTATAAAGCCAACATTATGTTTGTAACTCATCTTCTATTACTTTTACCACTCTACTTTTATCAGTAAAAATATTTTACATATACTTTATCGGGTACTTTTACCTGAATAAACATTTGAATTTGAATTTGAATATAAGGAATTTACACCAAATTTTTCGCACTCTCCCGATCAGTGCTTTGTCAAGGTCTGAGTGCTTGGTTTGGACTAGACTTACATCTCAACGTCTAATGAGGCTGTTATCTTGTTGTTTAAGAGTCAGCTACTGGGAACAAAAAGTTGCAAGTAGCACGGGCTATGGTGATCCCGTAGTGGACTTACCTGGCACAGGAGCGGGGCTGTAACTTGGCTGTTAGCCTGGGTCCAGTCCTCTTGTCCTTCTGGACCTCCTGACCAGGTCACCACTAGTCCCGACTGCCGTTGTATCTGCGGTAATGTCTTCTACGGAAATTTGATCATGTGTCCGTACCGTAATCCTGCTGTTCTGGGAACTGAAGTTGTTATTAATAGAGGTGTTCATTCCGATGTTATCCCTCGTAACCCTCTTCATACCACAAGGAACGCGGCTAATGGGAACGTGGCTAATGGGAACGCGGCTAATGGGAACGCGGCCAATGGGATTCATCCATTGATTGAGATCTAATTTTAATTCACTCAATCATTTTCTAGTAAAGCTGTCCTCCGAAGGAAAGCTCTTGTTGCCAGCGAAAATATTCAGAGTATTTATTTTAAATACTTCTACTACTTTCTAGTTCTAATATTATTATGTATTATTTCACACTTCTTAAAATCAATATTGTGATCTTTTTCCCAACTATGGTTAGCTACAGCACTGTTACCAGCCATGATATTACACACTTTCTTGTGTTCAATTCTGATCTACAATTCTACTTCACTACAATCTCTACAAGGTAATATGTAAACAACTCCAGGATTACTATCCTCTTCTACTCTATTCTTACTAATCCTTTCCCCTAATTGTATTTGGGTAATTAGGAATGATTTGATGTTTTGTATCCGCAACGTTACGGGTCAGTTGGCTTAAACTAGGGTTATAATGCAATTTCAAAACCATTTTATTATCAGGATTCCAAGGGTGTCTCTCAGTTATAGTGTAATGGATGCCTTTATCTTTACTGTGGGTTCTTCTCAGTGAACCACGACGTATAGCCTAAATCCAAAGACTATTAAATAAATATTTAAGGTCAGCTTCTATGTAAGACGGGTCACAAACCCTATAACCTATTAGATAACGACCGGTGAGTACACGTTCTTGAACTGGATTAGAATGATATGAGAAAAAATTAATATATGAGTGTGTCTTTTTTCCCCTGTAAATACGGAATGTAAACTGATCGTTGCTTCTACCTTCCTTGCAATCCAAAAATGGGAGTTCTTTATCAAGTTCTTTTCCTATAGTAAACTGCACGGAATGCTGCAGGCTATTGAGACTAAATACCTATCTAGGTTCTCGAAATCTTCCTCAAAAATAGCGAAAACATCATCAACATGTTTTAACCAGGTTCTGGGACCTTTACCATCTCTTATTACTGTGGGTGCTAATTGTGCTTAAAAAACTCCATATATAAATTTGGTTGAATAGGGGAAAGGGAAGACATAGCCACCCCCGAACTCTTGTTAATAAACCGACCCATCTAACCTGAAATAAGTGTCTTCTACACAAATATTAATCAGCTCAAAAATAAAGTGTTAGGTATCGGAGTAACACAATTACCTGCTACCGGTTGTGTTCTAAGATAATCAAATATTTTAGGTAAAGGCACATTGGTAAAAAGTGAGACCCTATTTCCGTAGGAGACGTTACCGGAGGTACCTCGCCAGGCGGGCCTAGTGGTGACCTGGTCAGGTGGTCCAGAAGGACAAGAGGACTGGACCCACGATAACAGCCTCGTTACAGCCCCGCGCCTGTGCCAGGTAAGTCCACTACGGGCTCACCATAGCCCGTGCTACTTGCAACTTTTCGTTCCCAGTAGCCGACTCTTAAACCAACAAGATAACAGCCTCATTAGACGTTGAGATGTAAGTCTGGTCCTGACCACACACTCACACCATGACAAAGCACTGATCGGGAGAGAGCAAAAGGTTTGGTGTAAATTCCTTTAAAAAATTTCACAAATACACAAGTGTGGGTTTTTATCTCATGTTATGTCTGTGAGAAGACACTACCATTACTAATTAATTATTATTATTATTATTATTATTATTATTATTATTAGAGGAGGGGCAGGAGAGTGTAGTACACTAGTGCAGTAGAGGCAGAAGAATATTCAGTAATACACTGGAATAGTAACTACGTGATCAGAAGGCAGATGTGAACATATAAATGTTATCAATATATTCATTAGAGAAATCGTTGTTGACACACTCACAGTGGAAGGAGACTTCTATTTACAATATTTTGTCAAATTTATGTAATGTTTTATTGTATGGCCATAAACGCTGTGCATGTTAGTGGCTTTGTAACACCAATGTTATGTTCCCTAACAAGGAACAATGTACAATGTACTCCTTGTATATAAATATAAAATCATTACGTAAGAAAGATCAGGTGTATTATTTTCCTTATTCAAGCGTGGAGAGCAGCAGTACCTTGGTCCCTGGTCACACTAGTGGTACCTTGGTCCCTGGTCACACTAGTGGTACCTTGGTCCCTGGTCACACTAGTGGTACCTTGGTCCCTGGTCACTTGTAGTACCTTGGTCCATGTTCTTACATGTTCTTTTCATTAATGTTACGGCCTCTATGGGTCGCAACCGGGTTCTTTGCTGGAGGAACCAAAGTACTAGTATCCGGCCCCAAGTTAGTAGTGGCTTTCAAAGAGTGAGCTCGGTAATGCAAGTAAAACACAAGAGGGGAGTTGAAAGGAATACGACACTTCACCAATTATCAATATATTCACATAGCACTTTTCCATCACCTTATGTAGAATCATAAGCGAAGTATTACTACACTGATATATACACAAGTGTCGCTCTCATAAGACACTCAGCGCTCCTCGATGCTCATGCGATACAGTCTTGTCAACTTCCGTGTTCCCTCAACACACAGTACCGTCCTCAACCAGTACTGGGAAACACCAACGAGTCTACCCTAGCCACGGGCCAGCCTATCTACAGTCTCACTAGGTGCTCCTTGTGCACGCCCACAATCACTCTCCAGCCTGGAGCTGGCAGAGAACATCAGCCTCGCGCTGCTGGGCCTCTACACGGACAAATACAAGGGCAGCGAACCCCTGGCAGGAGCTTCTTGTTACTGTCGGTCGTCTCTTCCTCTAGCCAGTCCCGGGATACGCCGAATTCTGTCACTGCCACTTCACAGGCAGACAGCAGATACTACTCAGTTCCTCTTCGGCGGCGGCTCACTGCTCACATAAAGCAGAATGGAGTAGAGAGATAATAGGCTGCCCTGGGTAGACTGACTGTCCTCGTACCACTGCAGCCCTACGTTGCCTCTGTGGATACAGACACGTCATCAGTAAACTGGCCAGTACTTGGGACACTAGGAAATACCACTTATGGACTCTGACATAAACATACAACTCCCCCTACAATAGATGGCGCTGATTTTCTAGGCGCCACCTCACCAGAGGTCAGCAACAGCGACCCATCGAGCTGACCAAGGCAGGAATCTAGCGTCTCTTGCAGGTATCATCCTGCCACCACCAGATGGCGTCGTCCATTTTGTGGGGGTTTCGGGAGCTGACTCACAGATGGCATTGACGTCGCTGCTCCATGCTCCGACGATGGCGTCGGGTTCGTAACAATTAAACATTATTAATACTGTTTCTGTATCATAGTGTAATGTTTCTGTGTGTGGTAGTGCACCCTATAACTCATCCTGTGTGTGGTAGTGCGCCTTATAACTCATCCTGTGTGTGGTAGTGCGCCCTATAACTCATCCTGTGTGTGGTAGTGCACCCTATAACTCATCCTGTGTGTGGTAGTGCACCCTATAACTCATCCTGTGTGTGGTAGTGCGCCCTATAACTCATCCTGTGTGTGGTAGTGCACCCTATAACTCATCCTGTGTGTGGTAGTGCACCCTATAACTCATCCTGTGTGTGGTAGTGTGTTCCCTGGCCAGAGCTTCAGTCTGGCCGAGGGAGCGTTCTCCGACCAGGGCATCAGTCTGGCAGAGGGAGCGTTCCCTGACCAGGGCATCAGTCTGGCCGAGTGAACGTTCCCTGACCAGGGCATCAGTCTGGCCGAGTGAACGTTCCCTGACCAGGGCATCAGTCTGGCCGAGTGAACGTTCCCTGACCAGGGCATCAGTCTGGCCGAGGGAGCGTTCCCTGACCAGGGCATCAGTCTGGCCGAGTGAACGTTCCCTGACCAGGGCATCAGTCTGGCCGAGTGAACGTTCCCTGACTAGGGCATCAGTCTGGCCGAGGGAGCGTTCCCTGACCAGGGCATTAGTCTGGCCGAGTGAGCGTTCCCTGACCAGGGCATCAGTCTGGCCGAGTGAACGTTCCCTGACCAGGGCATCAGTCTGGCCGAGTGAACGTTCCCTGAACAGGGCATCAGTCTGGCCGAGTGAACGTTCCCTGACTAGGGCATCAGTCTGACCGAGGGAGCGTTCCCTGACCAGGGCATTAGTCTGGCCGAGTGAGCGTTCCCTGACCAAGGCATCAGTCTGGCCGAGTGAACGTTCCCTGACCAGGGCATCATTCTGGCCGTGTGAACGTTCCCTGACCAGGGCATCAGTCTGGCCGAGTGAACGTTCTCTGACCAGGGCATCATTCTGGCCGTGTGAACGTTCCCTGACCAGGGCATCAGTCTGGCCGAGTGAAGGTTCCCTGACCAGGGCATCAGTCTGGCCGAGTGAACGTTCCCTGACCAGGGCATCAGTCTGGCCGAGTGAACGTTCTCTGACCAGGGCATCATTCTGGCCGTGTGAACGTTCCCTGACCAGGGCATCAGTCTGGCCGTGTGAACGTTCCCTGACCAGGGCATCAGTCTGGCCGAGTGAACGTTCCCTGACCAGGGCATCAGTCTGGCCGAGTGAACGTTCCCTGACCAGGGCATCAGTCTGGCCGTGTGAACGTTCCCTGACCAGGGCATCAGTCTGGCCGAGTGAACGTTCCCTGACCAGGGCATCAGTCTGGCCGAGGGAGCGTTCCCTGACCAGGGCATCAGTCTGGCCGAGGGAGCGTTCCCTGACCAGGGCATCAGTCTGGCCGAGTGAACGTTCCCTGACCAGGGCATCAGTCTGGCCGAGGGAGCGTTCCCTGACCAGGGCATCAGTCTGGCCGAGGGAGCGTTCTCTGACCAGGGCATCATTCTGGCCGAGGGAGCGTTCCCTGACCAGGGCATCAGTCTGGCCGAGGGAGCGTTCTCTGACCAGGGCATCAGTCTGGCCGAGGGAGCGTTCTCTGACCAGGGCATCAGTCTGGCAGAGGGAGCGTTCCCTGGCCAGGGCATCAGTCTGGCCGAGGGAGCGTTCCCTGACCAGGGCATCAGTCTGGCCGAGGGAGCGTTCCCTGACCAGGGCATCAGTCTGGCCGAGTGAACGTTCCCTGACCAGGGCATCAGTCTGGCCGAGGGAGCATTCCCTGACCAGGGCATCAGTCTGGCCGAGGGAGCGTTCTCTGACCAGGGCATCATTCTGGCCGAGGGAGCGTTCCCTGACCAGGGCATCAGTCTGGCCGAGGGAGCGTTCTGACCAGGGCATCAGTCTGGCCGAGTGAGCGTTCTCTGACCAGGGCATCAGTCTGGCCGAGGGAGCGTTCCCTGGCCAGGGCATCAGTCTGGCCGAGGGAGCGTTCCCTGACCAGAGCATCAGTCTGGCCGAGGGAGCGTTCCCTGACCAGGGCATCAGTCTGGCCGAGTGAGCGTTCTCTGACCAGGGCATCAGTCTGGCCGAGGGAGCGTTCCCTGGCCAGGGCATCAGTCTGGCCGAGGGAGCGTTCCCTGACCAGGACATCAGTCTGGCCGAGGGAGCGTTCTCTGACCAGGGCATCAGTCTGGCGGAGGGAGCGTTCCCTGACCAGGGCATCAGTCTGGCCGAGGGAGCGTTCCCTGACCAGGGCATCAGTCTGGCCGAGGGAGCGTTCCCTGGCCAGGGCATCAGTCTGGCCGAGGGAGCGTTCCCTGACCAGAGCATCAGTCTGGCCGAGGGCATTCTACTCTGCTTCAAGTCGAAGCATTAACTGTTCTTTTATGTGGAAGTGTTTGAGCTCTCGTGATGCTGGTTAGTGTTGTCTCGTGGCTGAGTCAGTAGTCCAATTCGAGGGATGCTGATCTTTGGTAAGTGTGTTTCAGGGGGGCGTTTACAAATAGTCCTGTTTTTTTCAGATACGTAACCTTGGCCTAACATTCAAAATAATAATTATGGGAAAACAACATTTACCGGAAGAATGGATAGCTTATAATATATATCGATAAAGCGGGTTAATGTTACTATTCACGTTCGAACGTTGCCGTACAGAAATTAATAAGGAGACAAGAGAACATCGGAATCCATCCTTGGAAGAAAAGATGCGGGCGAGTAGTGTGGCGCGGGGTACAGCAGCACCACTCCCCTCAGCGAGTACCAACACACTGGGCTGCTGCACGTGGCCCCGCTGCTGCCAGAGCGCGCGCCAGGCCACCACAACCCACACTCCCGGGCCACGGACCACACTTATTGATCAAACCCTCCAGCCACCGACCCAGTTAGACATTATTTTCACGTTTACGTCCTGATAGCAAACCTGCATCTCTTATTTAAGACTTTGTTTTCATGCTCTATTTAATGGGACGTCTGGAGGATTTGGTTCATGGACTCAAAGCCCTCTCGCCTTTGCTTTCCATAATATGATGGACAAAAAGTCCAAGAACTGGAGATGGGCAACTGCATTGATGTCTATGGTATGATTCATGGCGTACAGTAATTGTGTTATGTGAGCTCTCGCCACAGTTGTTACTCAGACACACTCAACTTAAGCGATAGTCTTAGTAATTTCAATATTAACATGATCTGCTGGAGTATAATACTATACACTAAAAACTAGACCATAATTATTTCATTACTAGGCTTTATTCAACATTTAAAACTATATAGCCTATGAATTACTTTTATATCTATGGACATTATCGCCATGTCCTAAACACAACAGAACTGTAACCGTTCCTTCAATCATTATGTATATGCATATTTTAAAGGATATATCATTTATCCGTTGAGTGAACCAGAGTTTTTATTTCGTAAATAATTAATTATATGAATACTCTTCACACTAAATTGTATAGCATTTTATTACACATTATCATATATATATATATATATATATATATATATATATATATATATATATATATATATATATATATATATATATATGTCGTACCTAGTAGCCAGAACGCACTTCTCAGCCTATTATGCAAGGCCCGATTTGCCTAATAAGCCAAGTTTTCCTGAATTAATATATTTTCTCTAATTTTTTTCTTATGAAATGATAAAGTTACCCATTTCATTATGTATGAGGTCAATTTATTTTTATTGGAGTTAAAATTAACGTAGATATATGACCGAACCTAACCAACCCTACCTAACCTAACCTAACCTATCTTTATAGGTTAGGTTAGGTTAGGTAGCCGAAAAAGCTAGGTTAGGTTAGGTTAGGTAGGTTAGGTCGTCGAAAAACAATTAGTTCATGAAAACTTGGCTTATTAGGCAAATCGGGCCTTGCATATTAGGCTGAGAAGTGCGTTCTGGCTACTAGGTACGACATATATATATATATATATATATATATATATATATATATATATATATATATATATATATATATATATATATATATATATATAGTCCGAATATTCGGGCAATATATATATATATATATATATATATAGTCCGAATATTCGGGCAGTATATATGTATATATTGCCCGAAACACTGCGCGTATTAGTGGCTTTACAAAATTGTAAATACCATGCTATGTATTCTCACATACCCAATGTACCTTATTGTATATATATAAATAAATATAATAAATAAATAAATAAATAAATATACTATATATATATATATATATATATATATATATATATATATATATATATATATATATATATATATATATATATATATATGCATATATATATATATATATATATATATATATATATATATATATATATATATCTTAAAATTCAAGTATCATCCGTCAAGCAACTGTGTGTGTGTGTGTGTGTGTGTGTGTGTGTGTGTGTGTGTGTGTGTGTGTGTGTGTGTGTGTGTGTGTGTGTGTGATCTGTACGACCCGTTTTCCCCGTTGTCGGCAGCGCGCTAGTATGACGTACGAAGCAGTGTGTCGCACCCGTCAAGCTTCACAAAACGAGTCATTTACACAGTATTTAACACATAACATAGCCAATATTCCATTAAATATATTACATATACTAAACATACTAAGAGGAGTAATGAATGTTGCATTATATAGGTACTGATGAGGGAGGGAGGGGAGCGAGGGGAGGGGATGGCCGCGAGGGGAGGGGAGCGAGAGGCTGGTGTTGTTGTGACTGTGGTGGAGACTACACGCTCGGGGTCTGCTCTCCCCTCCGTGCTTGGCGGTAAGTCACTCAACCCATACCACCACCTTCCATCTCCACCATTTTATCTCCATACAAGCTCTCACACTCATCAAAATGATGACGAAAATATATATGATTTTTCAGGATTTGGGTCTAATGTGAAAATGTATATGAAGTGATTATTGTGTTCTTGTTAATAACTATGGGAGGAAAAAGGAGAGAGGAACTTGGTGAAGTGATCTTGGTGGTGGAGGCTGTGAGGTGAACCTCCGGCGGAGGCAACACATGGTGCCGGATATAACTCGTCTTTCAATCCAGTTTTCGACATACGCGAGTGTGTGTGTTTCCAGGAGAACCGTAACAGAGTGTAACTCCAGGTTTGTGTGGTACAAACATACAGGCCAGATGCAATACAAGCCTCCCATGCTTGTCACCAGCTGATGTCTGTCGGTCTGGAGACATATTTCCCCGTGTATGTCCCAGAATGTGAGGACAACGATCGATCTCCGGCAGGTCTCCGCCGCCGCCGCCACTGTGTGCTGCTCCTGCCGTGGTGGTGATGGTGGTGATGGCATAGTCTCCGTCACAGCCTCCTCCGACACCAGCAGCAGCAGCTGCCACCTGTCTTGGGGCCGTGTGGTGCCTGGACCCCCGCCTGAAGGCACCTCCGCCCTCCTCCCGTGGTAGCCAAGGGTGCCTCCTGCCCTCCGTCGTCCCCTTCCTCACCACTCACTACTCTTGCCGCCTCTCAACCCCGGCAACTTCCCCCTTCACGGCACCCCAACACTTCCATTGCTGTTGATACATGGCAACTCCTCCATTAATGACACGACAATCCACCCTGACATTGATGACTAAGGACAACTCCTCTATTGATGGCATATTACTACACCTAATCCAATATTAGTCAACACCTCCATTGATGTCGACACATGGTAACACTTCCATTGATGATACACGGAGACATCCATCGAGATCGACGCATGGCAACAATTCCAGTGATGACACAAGGCAACACTGCCACTGACCATGGCAACACCTTCATTGATGACACAAGGAAACACCTCCATTCACGACACAAGGAAGTACCTTCATTGATGATACAAGGAAACACATCCATTGATGACACAAGGAAGCACCTTCATTGATGATACAAGGAAACACCTCCATTGATGACACAAGTACCTTCATTGATGACACATGGAAACACCTCCATTGATGACACAAGGAAACACCTCCATTGATGACAAAAGTACCTTCATTGATGACACATGGAAACACCTCCATTGATGACACAAGGAAACACCTTCATTCACGACACAAGGAAGTACCTTCATTGATGATACAAGGAAACACATCCATTGATGACACAAGGAAGCACCTTCATTGATGATACAAGGAAACACATCCATTGATGACTCAAGGAAGCACCTTCATTGATGATACAAGAAAACACATCCATTGATGACACAAGGAAGCACGTTCATTGATGACACAAGGAAACACATCCATTGATGACACAAGGAAGCACGTTCATTGATGACACAAGGAAACACATCCATTGATGACACAAGGAAACACGTTCATTGATGACACAAGGAAACACATCCATTGATGACACAAGGAAACACCTCCATTGATGGCACAAGGAAGTACCTCCATTGATGACACAAGGAAACACCTCCATTGATGACACAAGTACCTTCATTGATGACACATGGAAACACCTCCATTGATGACACAAGGAAACACCTCCATTGATGACACAAGGAAACACCTCCATTGATGGCACAAGGAAGTACCTCCATTGATGACACAAGGAAACACCTCCATTGATGACACAAGTACCTTCATTGATGACACATGGAAACACCTCCATTGATGACACAAGGAAACACCTCCATTGATGACACAAGGAAACATCTCCATTGATGACACAAGGAAGTACCTTCGTTGATGACACAAGGAAACAACTCCATTGATGACACAAGGAAGTACCTCCATTGATGACACAAGGAAGTACCTTCATTGATATCACAAGGTAACAACTCCATTGATGACACAAGGAAGTACCTTCGTTGATGAAACAAGGAAACACCTCCATTGATGACACAAGGAAACACCTTATATTGATGACACAAGGAAGTACCTTCATTGATGTCACAAGGAAACAACTCCATTGATGACACAAGGAAACACCTCTATTGATGACACAAGGAAGTACCTTCATTGATGACACAAGGAAACACCTCCATTGATGACACAAGGAAGTACCTTCATTGATGACACAAGGAAACACCTCCATTGATGACACAAGGAAGTACCTTCATTGATGATACAAGGAAACACATCCATTGATGACACAAGGAAGCACCTTCATTGATGATACAAGAAAACACATCCATTGATGACACAAGGAAGCACGTTCATTGATGACACAAGGAAACACATCCATTGATGACACAAGGAAGCACGTTCATTGATGACACAAGGAAACACATCCATTGATGACACAAGGAAACACGTTCATTGATGACACAAGGAAACACATCCATTGATGACACAAGGAAATACCTCCATTGATGGCACAAGGAAGCACGTTCATTGATGGCACAAGGAAGTACCTCCATTGATGACACAAGGAAACACCTCCATTGATGACACAAGTACCTTCATTGATGACACATGGAAACACCTCCATTGATGACACAAGGAAACACCTCCATTGATGGCACAAGGAAGTACCTCCATTGATGACACAAGGAAACACCTCCATTGATGACACAAGTACCTTCATTGATGACACATGGAAACACCTCCATTGATGACACAAGGAAACACCTCCATTGATGACACAAGGAAACATCTCCATTGATGACACAAGGAAGTACCTTCGTTGATGACACAAGGAAACAACTCCATTGATGACACAAGGAAGTACCTCCATTGATGACACAAGGAAGTACCTTCATTGATATCACAAGGTAACAACTCCATTGATGACACAAGGAAGTACCTTCGTTGATGAAACAAGGAAACACCTCCATTGATGACACAAGGAAACACCTCCATTGATGACACAAGGAAACACCTCCATTGATGACACAAGGAAGTACCTTCATTGATGACACAAGGAAACACCTCCATTGATGACATAAGGAAGTACCTTCATTGATGACACAAGGAAACAACTCCATTGATGACACAAGGAAACACCTCAATTGATGACACAAGGAAGTACCTTCATTGATGACACAAGGAAGTACCTTCATTGATGACACAAGGAAACAACTCCATTGATGACACAAGGAAACACCTCCATTGATGACACAAGGAAGTACCTTCATTGATGATACAAGGAAACACCTCCATTGATGACACTAGGAAGTACCTTCATTGATGACACAAGGAAACACCTCCATTGATGATACAAGGAAACACCTCCATTGATTACACAAAGAAGTACCTTCATTGATGACACAAGGAAGTACCTCCATTGATGACACAAGGAAACACCTCCATTAATGACACAAGGAAAGACCTCCATTGATGACACAAGGAAGTACCTTCATTGATGACACAAGGAAACAACTTCATTGATGAAACAAGGAAACACCTCCATTGATGACACAAGGAAACAACTTCATTGATGACACAAGGAAACACCTCCATTGATGATACAAGGAAACACCTCCATTGATGACACAAGGAAACACCTCCATTGATGACACAAGGAAACACCTCCATTGATGACACAAGGAAACACCTCCATTGATGACACAAGGAAGTACCTTCATTGATGACACAAGTACCTCATGTCATCTTTATTGATGACACAAGGAAACACCTTCATTGATGACACAAGGAAACACCTTCATTGATGACACAAGGAAACACCTTCATTGATGATAAGGAAAACACCTACGTTGATGACACAAGGAAACACCTTCATTGATGATACAAGGAAACACCTCCATTAATGACACAAGGAAACACCTCCATTGATGACACAAGGAAACACCTCCATTGATGACACATGATACCTACAATGATGGCTCATGACAGTACCATCATTGATGACACATGACATCACTGATAACACATAACACCTTTATTGACATGACACCTGCATTCATAACATATGGCATGCCAATTGATGATACTTTCATTGATGGCATATGGCAATACCTTTATTGATGACACATGCCAATTCCTCCATTGATGACAAATGACAATACTTTCATTGATGATGCAAGGCAATACCTTCAGTAATGACGTATGACAACACATGCATTGATGACAAATAAGAACACCTCCATTGATCGCACATGACAACACCTCCATTGATGACACAAGCCAACGCTTCCATTGATTATATATATGGCAACACCTCTACTAATGGCACATGACATCTCCATTGATGACACAGGGAGACGCTTTCATTGATGACAAAAGGAAGCACCTCCATTGATGACACAAGACAACACATTTATTGATGGCACATGACAAACCTCCATTGATGACACATGACAACACCTCCATTGATGAAACATGCCAACACCAAAATTGATGATATGTCAACGCTCCCATTGATGACACAAGACAATATCTTCATAAATGCCACATGACATCTCTATTGATGACATTGGGAAACGCTTCCATTGATGGCACATTATAACGCCTTCATTGATGACAAGGCAACACCCGTATTGATGACATATTGTAAACCATACATTGATGACACAAGGCAACACCTGCATTGATGCCTACACTTATGATGTGATAACACGACAATGCCTTCACATATGGCAAGGCAAACCTTCCATTGATGATTCATTGTGTACTTCGCCTCCATTGACGAAGTACACAATGCATCCAATTGATGACACATTATGCACTACGCACCCAATTGATGACACATTATGCACTATGCACCCAATTGATGGCACATGCACTACGCACCCAATTGATGACACATGCACTACGCACCCAATTGATGATACATGCACCCAATTGACGACACATGCACTACGCACCCAATTGATGACACATGCACTATGCACCTAATTGATGACACATGCACTACGCACCCAATTGATGACACATGCACCCAATTGATGAAACATGCACTACGCACCCAATTGATGACACATGCACTACGCACCCAATTGATGACACATGCACTACGCACCAAATTGATGACCCATGCACTATGCACCCATTTGATGACACATTATGCAATATGCACATAATTGATGACACATGCACTACGCACCCAATTGATGACACATTATGCAATATGCACCCAATTGATGACACATGCACAACGCACCCAATTGATGACACATGCACTACGCACCCATTTGATGACACATTATGCAATATGCACCCAATTGATGACACATGCACTACGCACCCAATTGATGACACATGCACTACGCACCCAATTGATGACACTTGCACTACACACCCAATTGATGACACATGCACTACGCACCCAATTGATGACATGCACTACGCACCCAATTGATGACACTTGCACTACGCACCCAATTGATGACACTTGCACTACGCACCCAATTGATGACACATGCACTACGCACCCAATTGATGACACTTGCACTACGCACCCAATTGATGACACTTGCACTACGCACCCAATTGATGACACATGCACTACGCACCCAATTGATGACACATGCACTACGCACCCAATTGATGACACATGCACTATGCACCCAATTGATGACACTTGCACTACGCACCCAATTGATGACACATGCACTACGCACCCAATTGATGACACATGCACTACGCACCCAATTGATGACACATGCACTACGCACCCAATTGATGACACTTGCACTACGCACCCAATTGATGACACATGCACTACGCACCCAATTGATGACACATGCACTACGCACCCAATTGATGACACATGCACTACGCACCCAATTGATGACACTTGCACTACGCACCCAATTGATGACACTTGCACTACGCACCCAATTGATGACACATGCACTACGCACCCAATTGATGACACTTGCACTACGCACCCAATTGATGACACATGCACTACGCACCCAATTGATGACACATGCACTACGCACCCAATTGATGACACATGCACTACGCACCCAATTGATGACACATGCACTACGCACCCAATTGATGACACATGCACTACGCACCCAATTGATGACACATTATGCAATATGCACCCAATTGATGACACATGCACTACGCACCCAATTGATGACACATGCACTACGCACCCAATTGATGACACATGCACTACGCACCCAATTGATGACACATTATGCAATATGCACCCAATTGATGACACATGCACTACGCACCCAATTGATGACACATGCACTACGCACCCAATTGATGACACATGCACTACGCACCCAATTGATGACACATGCACTACGCACCCAATTGATGACACATTATGCAATATGCACCCAATTGATGACACATGCACTACGCACCCAATTGATGACAGACACATTGCAACGCCTTCATTGATAAGACACACACAACCATTGTAGTAACTGAAAAACTGACGAAGATTGTCTGTATAAGTTAGTACCAGTGTTGCCGCTGGCTGTGTTTGGTGGCTGTGTCTGGTGGCTGTGTCTGGTGGTTGTGTGGCTGTCTGGTGGTTGTGTCTGGTGGCTGTGTCTGGTGGTTGTGTCTGGTGGTTGTGGCTGTCTGGTGGTTGTGGTGGCTGTCTGGTGGTGTCTGGTGGTTGTGTCTGGTGGTTGTGTCTGGTGGTTGTGTCTGGTGGTTGTGTCTGGTGGTTGTGTCTGGTGGTTGTGTCTGGTGGTTGTGTCTGGTGGTTGTGTCTGGTGGTTGTGTCTGGTGGTTGTGTCTGGTGGTTGTGTCTGGTGGTTGTGTCTGGTGGTTGTGTCTGGTGGTTGTGTGGTGGTGTGTTGTGTCTGGTGGTTGTGTGTGGTGGTTGTGTCTGGTGGTTGTGTCTGGTGGTTGTGTCTGGTGGTTGTGTTTGGTGGTTGTGTCTGGTGGTTGTGTCTGGTGGTTGTGTGGTGGTTGTGTCTGGTGGTTGTGTGGTGTCTGGTGGTTGTCTGGTGGTTGTGTCTGGTGGTTGTGTCTGGTGGTTGTGTCTGGTGGTTGTGTGGTGGTGGTTGTGTCTGGTGGTTGTGTCTGGTGGTTGTGTCTGGTGGTTGTGTCTGGTGGTTGTGTCTGGTGGTTGTGTCTGGTGGTTGTGTCTGGTGGTTGTGTGGGTGGTTGTGTCTGGTGTTGTGTCTGGTGTGTTGTGTCTGTGTTGGTTGTGTCTGGTGGTTGTGTCTGTCTGGTGGTGGTGTGTGTCTGGTGGTTGTGTCTGGTGGTTGTGTCTGGTGGTTGTGTCTGGTGGTTGTGTGGTGTCTGGTGTGTTGTGGTTGTGTCTGGTGGTTGTGTGTGTCTGGTGGTGTGTCTGGTGTTGTGTCTGGTGGTTGTGTGGTGGTTGTGTCTGGTGGTTGTGTCTGGTGGTGTGTCTGGTGGTGTGTGTCTGGTGGTTGTGTGGTGTGTGGTTGTGTCTGGTGGTTGTGTCTGGTGGTGTGTGTCTGGTGGTGTGTCTGGTGGTTGTGTCTGGTGGTTGTGTGGTGGTGGTGGTGTGTGTGTCTGGTGGTTGTGTGTCTGGTGGTTGTGTGGTGTCTGGTGGTTGTGTGTGTCTGGTGGTTGTGTCTGGTGTCTGGTGGTTGTGTGGTGGTTGTGTCTGGTGGTTGTGTCTGGTGGTTGTGTCTGGTGGTTGGTCTGTGTGGTTGTGTCTGGTGGTTGTGTCTGGTGGTTGTGTCTGGTGGTTGTGTCTGGTGGTTGTGTCTGGTGGTTGTGTCTGGTGGTTGTGTCTGGTGGTTGTGTCTGGTGTCTGTGTCTGGTGTGTTGTGTCTGGTGGTTGTGTCTGGTGGTTGTGTCTGGTGTGTTGTGTCTGGTGGTTGTGTCTGGTGGTGTGTCTGGTGGTTGTGTCTGGTTGTGTGTCTGGTGGTGTGTTGTGTGGTGTGTCTGGTGGTTGTGTCTGGTGGTGTGTCTGGTGGTTGTGTGGTGGTTGTGTCTGGTGGTTGTGTCTGGTGGTTGTGTCTGGTGGTTGTGTCTGGTGGTTGTGTCTGGTGGTGTGTGTCTGGTTGTGTGGTGTCTGGTGGTTGTGTCTGGTGGTGTGTCTGGTGGTTGTGTCTGGTGGTGGTGTCTGGTGGTTGTGTCTGGTGGTTGTGTCTGGTGGTTGTGTCTGGTGGTGTGTCTGGTGGTTGTGTGGGTGGTTGGTCTGGTGGTTGTGTCTGGTGGTTGTGTCTGGTGGTTGTGTCTGGTGGTTGTGTCTGGTGGTTGTGTCTGGTGGTTGTGTCTGGTGGTTGTGTCTGGTGGTTGTGTGGTGGTTGTGTCTGTGTTGTGTCTGGTGGTTGTGTCTGGTGGTTGTGTGGTGGTGGTGGTGTGTCTGGTGGTTGTGTCTGGTGGTTGTGTCTGGTGGTTGTGTCTGGTGTTGTGTCTGGTGGTTGTGTCTGGTGGTGTGTCTGGTGGTTGTGTCTGGTGGTTGTGTCTGGTGGTTGTGTCTGGTGTGTGTCTGGTGGTTGTGTCTGGTGGTTGTGTCTGGTGGTTGTGTCTGGTGGTTGTGTCTGGTGGTTGTGTCTGGTGGTTGTGTCTGGTGGTTGTGTCTGGTGGTTGTGTCTGGTGGTTGTGTCTGGTGGTTGTGTCTGGTGGTTGTGTCTGTGTCTGTGTCTGGTGGTGTGTGGTGGTGGTTGTGTCTGGTGGTTGTGTCTGGTGGTTGTGTCTGGTGGTTGTGTCTGGTGGTTGTGTGTCTGGTGGTTGTGTGGTGTCTGGTGGTTGTGTCTGGTGGTTGTGTCTGGTGGTTGTGTCTGGTGGTTGTGTCTGGTGGTTGTGTCTGGTGGTGTGTCTGGTGGTTGTGTCTGGTGGTTGTGTCTGGTGGTTGTGTCTGGTGGTTGTGTCTGGTGGTTGTGTCTGGTGGTTGTGTCTGGTGTTGTGTCTGGTTGTGTTGGTGTCTGGTGGTTGTGTCTGGTGGTTGTGTCTGGTTGGTTGTGTCTGGTGGTTGTGTCTGGTGGTTGTGTCTGGTGGTTGTGTCTGGTGGTTGTGTCTGGTGGTGGTGTCTGGTGGTTGTGTGTCTGGTGGTTGTGTCTGGTGGTTGTGTCTGGTGGTTGTGTCTGGTGGTTGTGTCTGGTGGTTGTGTCTGGTGGTTGTGTCTGGTGGTTGTGTCTGGTGGTTGTGTCTGGTGGTTGTGTCTGGTGGTTGTGTCTGGTGGTTGTGTCTGGTGGTTGTGTCTGGTGGTTGTGTCTGGTAGTTGTGTCTGGTGGTTGTGTCTGGTGGTTGTGTCTGGTGGTTGTGTCTGGTAGTTGTGTCTGGTGGTTGTGTCTGGTGGCTGTCTGGTGGCTGTGTCTGGTGGCTGTGTCTGGTGGTTGTGTCTGGTGGTTGTGTCTGGTGGTTGTGTCTGGTGGTTGTGTCTGGAGACTGTGTCTGGTGGCTGTCTGGTGGCTGTCTGGTGGCTGTGTCTGGTGGCTGTGTCTGGTGGTTGTGTCTGGTGGTTGTGTCTGGTGGCTGTGTCTGGTGGTTGTGTCTGGTGGTTGTGTCTGGTGGTTGTGTCTGGTGGCTGTGTCTGGTGGTTGTGTCTGGTGGCTGTGTCTGGTGGTTGTGTCTGGTGGTTGTGTCTGGTGGTTGTGTCTGGTGGTTGTGTCTGGTGGTTGTGTCTGGTGGTTGTGTCTGGTGGTTGTGTCTGGTGGTTGTGTCTGGTGGTTGTGTCTGGTGGCTGTGTCTGGTGGTTGTGTCTGGTGGTTGTGTCTGGTGGTTGTGTCTGGTGGCTGTGTCTGGGTGGTTGTGTCTGGTGGCTGTGTCTGGTGGTTGTGTCTGGTGGTTTGTGTCTGGTGGTTGTGTGTCTGGTGGTTGTGTCTGGTGGTTGTGTCTGGTGGTTGTGTCTGGTGGTTGTGTCTGGTGGTTGTGTCTGGTGGCTGTGTCTGGTGGTTGTGTCTGGTGGTTGTGTCTGGTGGTTGTGTCTGGTGACTGTGTCTGGTGGTTGTGTCTGGTGGTTGTGTCTGGTGGCTGTGTCTGGTGACTGTGTCTGGTGGTTGTGTCTGGTGGCTGTGTCTGGTGGCTGTGTCTGGTGGCTGTGTCTGGTGACTGTGTCTGGTGGTTGTGTCTGGTGGTTGTGTCTGGTGGTTGTGTCTGGTGACTGTGTCTGGTGGTTGTGTCTGGTGGCTGTGTCTGGTGGCTGTGTCTGGTGGTTGTGTCTGGTGACTGTGTCTGGTGGTTGTGTCTGGTGGCTGTGTCTGGTGGTTGTGTCTGGTGGTTGTGTCTGGTGGTTGTGTCTGGTGGTTGTGTCTGGTGGTTGTGTCTGGTGGTTGTGTCTGGTGGTTGTGTCTGGTGGTTGTGTCTGGTGGTTGTGTCTGGTGGTTGTGTCTGGTGGCTGTGTCTGGTGGTTGTGTCTGGTGGCTGTGTCTGGTGACTGTGTCTGGTGACTGTGTCTGGTGACTGTGTCTGGTGGTTGTGTCTGGTGACTGTGTCTGGTGGTTGTGTCTGGTGGCTGTGTCTGGTGGTTGTGTCTGGTGGCTGTGTCTGGTGACTGTGTCTGGTGACTGTGTCTGGTGGTTGTGTCTGGTGGTTGTGTCTGGTGGTTGTGTCTGGTGGCTGTGTCTGGTGGTTGTGTCTGGTGGCTGTGTCTGGTGGCTGTGTCTGGTGGCTGTGTCTGGTGGCTGTGTCTGGTGGCTGTGTCTGGTGGCTGTGTCTGGTGGCTGTGTGTGGGCTGAGAGAATAGTGAGGGGCTGAGAGAATAGTGAGGGGCTGAGAGAATAGTGAGGGGCTGAGAGGTGGTGTGGGCAGAGAGAATAGTGAGGGGCTGAGAGAATAGTGAGGGGCTGAGAGAATAGTGAGGGGCTGAGAGAATAGTGAGGGGCTGAGAGAATAGTGAGGGGCTGAGAGAATAGTGAGGGGCTGAGAGGTGGTGTGGGCAGAGAGAATAGTGAGGGGCTGAGAGAATAGTGAGGGGCTGAGAGGTGGTGTGGGCTGAGAGAATAGTGAGGGGCTGAGAGAATAGTGAGGGGCTGAGAGAATAGTGAGGGGCTGAGAGGTGGTGTGGGCTGAGAGAATAGTGAGGGGCTGAGAGGTGGTGTGGGCTGAGAGGTGGTGTGGGCTGAGAGGTGGTGTGGGCTGAGAGGTGGTGTGGGCTGAGAGAATAGTGAGGGGCTGAGAGGTGGTGTGGGCTGAGAGGTGGTGTGGGCTGAGAGAATAGTGAGGGGCTGAGAGGTGGTGTGGGCTGAGAGAATAGTGAGGGGCTGAGAGAATAGTGAGGGGCTGAGAGGTGGTGTGGGCTGAGAGGTGGTGTGGGCTGAGAGGTGGTGTGGGCTGAGAGAATAGTGAGGGGCTGAGAGAATAGTGAGGGGCTGAGAGGTGGTGTGGGCAGAGAGAATAGTGAGGGGCTGAGAGAATAGTGAGGGGCTGAGAGGTGGTGTGGGCTGAGAGAATAGTGAGGGACTGAGAGGTGGTGTGGGCTGAGAGAATAGTGAGGGGCTGAGAGGTGGTGTGGGCAGAGAGAATAGTGAGGGGCTGAGAGGTGGTGTGG